GATTTGTTACCGGAGGTAAATGATGTTGGACTAAAGAGAATGCAGGACAAAGTGACACAAATGGACATTTTGACTTTGTATGATACATCAGGAAGTGTTGTGTGAGTGTCAAAAATGAACCATGTTGTTGATGTTGTAACTAAAATTAAAGCTGCAAGCAGCGTTGGACGGGATCTCGCACCCGGCGCGCGTCGGGGTGTGCTGCGACCGCGTCACGTGCCGTCGTAACAAGGGCGGACCACAACATGAAAATGTCACGTAAATCAGCTCAAAATCGCCACGCAGCACTTACTTCCTGTTGCCACTAGGTGGCGCTATCAGTATGTGTTCAGGGCGGGACTCTTATCAGACATGTGAAGTTTCGTTGCAGTCGGATCATGTATGCAGAAGTTATGACGAATCCCTCTTTTTATGGCGAAGGATCAAAATTGGATGCCACGGGCAGGAGGTTTGACGAAAACAACTGCAGAACACAACTTTTAATACTGAATGTGTTTAGATGGCTGTGTCCAAATCTGAAGTCGGTCCAATAAATTCCCTAGGAGGAGTTTGTTCAAATACGTGTGCAAATCGCGAAAAAAATCCAAAATGGCCGACTTCCTGTTGGGTTTGAGGTATGGGTCCAAGAGACTTTTTTGCTTCTTTTATCATGATACACATGCGTACCAATTTTCATACATGTCAGTCATGGGGGTGTCTTGGGGGCTGACTCTGGGGGGCGTGGCTAAGCCATTTTGCGACGCCCATCCACGGGACCAAGACAATACCTCGGCGTTCGGAACCACCAAATGCTGTGTAAAGTTTCATGAGTTTTCAGGCATGTTTAGTCCCCCCAAAAGTGTGAATTTTTTTGATTTTTGCCACGTCGCCATGGCAACATGGTTCCATGCAAATTCTTAAGATTCATAATATATGATCCTCATCCTCCTAAGGAACTTCTCACATAATTTCAGCTGGATCTGGTCAATATGCTTGAAGATATAAATAAAAGTACAAAAAATATATTTCCTTTCAGCACTAGGTGGCGCTCTCACTATTACTGAATATTATCACATAGGCATGTTCAGGGCGGGACTCTTATCAAACATCTGAAGTTTGGAGCCGATTGGACAATGTACACTCAAGTTATAGCAACTTTGTGTGTTCTGGCGGTACATCAAAGTGTGACGCCACGCCACAGACACGCCCTGTAACAAAAACTCACAACAATCAAGAAATATCATAAGAACATGTTTTCCATTTTCTGAATAGATTTCAGCTTGATCTGATCATCCTACTAGGAGTAGAACATGGAAGTATAAAAAAATGACATTTCCTTTCACCACTAGGTGGCGCTCTCACCATTACTGAATATTATCACATAGACATGTTCAGGGCGGGACTCTTATCAAACATCTGAAGTTTCGTTGCAGTCGGATCATGTACGCAGAAGTTATGACGAATCCCTCTTTCATGGCGAAGGTTTGAAATTGGATGCCATGGGACGCTGTTCGACGGAATAACGTAAATAGCACAACTTTTAATACTGAATGTGTTTAGATGGCTGTGTCCAAATCGGAAGTCAGTCCAATAAATTCCCTAGGAGGAGTTCGTTCAAATACAACGTGTGCAAATCGCCAAAAATGGCCACAAAATCCAAAATGGCCAACTTCCTGTTGGGTTTGAGGTATGGGTCCTTGAGACTTTTCTGCTTCTTTTATCATGATACACATGCGTACCAATTTTCGTACATGTGGGCCTTACGTGTCTTGGGGGCTGATTCTAGGGGGTGTGGCTTAGCCGTTTGGTGGTGCCCGTGCACGGGGACAATGTCATATCGGTATTTTCGCTACATTTGAATTTTGTGCAAATTCTCATGACTTTTTGAGCATGTTGCGGGGGCCAAATATGCGTTAGAAGGCGGCTAAAAATAATAATAATTCCTTGGGTTACAATAGGGTCTTGCACTTGTCAGTGCTCGATCCCTAATAATTCACTTCATCAGGGCAAGAGCATTGAATCACCGACAGTTTGTTGCACTTTGAGGAAAATGAGACTGAACATGGTGACATAAGCTACCACATAAGCTACCACACAGCTATCAGCTGGAACCTGAGAGAAGAGATTCATGAGTTCTGTGTGAAGAAAGGAAATGACATCCCCAAGCTTTCAGATGCAGACTGGATGGCAGACCTTGGTTTTGCTGTGGATGTGACTGCACTAATGAATGAACTAAATGTCAAACTGCAATGCAAGGGCCTTTTTGTGCATGAAATGTACAGTGCACTGAAGCTTTCATGAGAAAGTTGCAGCTTCTCCCAAGCCGAATAGAGGACAACATTCTCACCCACTTGCCAACACTGAAAGAAGCCACACCATCAGCTGATCACCTCCACAGGTACTCAGCCATATTAGAAGCACTGCATGGTGAGTTTTCACGGCGATTTCAAGACTTTAAAACAGTTGAGAGTGAAATGCACATGGTTTCTTCTTTCCACATATCAGGAGGCATGCTCAGAAGATTCTAGTCCTCTTTGGATCTACCTACGTATGTGAACAGACATTCTCAGTGATGGGGCACCCGGTTAGCTCAGTGGGTAGAGCTGGCGTCCCATGTACCACAGTGCGGCCCTTTACTGCGTGTCATCCCCTCTCTCTGCCCCCCTTTCCTGTCTACCCCTAACCCTTAAGCTGTCACTATCATAAAAGCAATAAAAGCCCCAAAAAAAGATTCTCAGTGATGAAGTTCAACAAATCCAGATACAGATCCTCCATCACTGATGATGACCTCTCAGCTGTCCCTCACATATCCACCTCAGACATTCAGCCACATTTCAATGCACTTGTTCAAGCCCAGGACAGACTGGATTTTTCCCACTGAACAAGTAAAATGAACTGACAAACATTAAGAGCACTTATTGATTTTTGTATAAAGTTGACCAATTGCTTATCTTTAACATACTGCAAAACACCTTTTCAGTATTTGTGAAGATTAACATGTTAAAAATAAAATGAAACACTGGCGTAATTATTGCTTTTACTGTTCATTACTTCTATAGGAGTATTTTCCTATTTCCTATTACACGACAATTTCATATATTTATATAAATATTTACATCCTTATTCTTCTGATTACCAGTAGCGGCTAATCAATATATATAGTTTACTGCTTTTTACAATGGGAGGAAATGAATATTGAGCAGTTCAGGTTTCTCATGTGGCCCCTTGTAATAATTAATTGCCCACCCCCTGCTCTGGGGTATAAACACACAGAGAGTCCACAGAAACTGTCTGAACCACGACTGCAGAGCTGGACCAGTTCCCCTTGATTACAATTAAAACCACCTGACAGAATCAGATTCACACACATACAAACACATCGACATTATATTCACATATATATAATCTCTAAATCTATAATCTATAAAGCAAGGAATCTCTGTCTGTCTGTCTGTCTGTCTGTCTGTCTGTGTGTGTGTGTGTGTGTGTGTGTGTGGCTCAAATATCTCTGCAGATCAGGATCAGACTGACCTGAGAGTTTCAACATGGCTGCTGTGTTGTTTAAGGGTGTGCAATGTCGGCTTTGTTTGGACTACAAAGATACCGTTGATAAATTATTTCATAAATTATTTATCTAATTCCGCTAGCATTACCAACGACAGCCACCAGAGCCAATCACTGCAGAGCCCTAATGTGTAGTGATTGAGATCCTGACCCACCAAACATCCTGGAAACTGACAAAGTTACGTTTTTCACTCTAAATTACACAATTCTACATAATCACCAGCAGTAAACTGGACGCTGTCTGACTCCCTCACTCGCAAGACAGAGAATGTTCTCCAGCTGAAAGTAAACTGATGTCTCTGTCCGGAGGGCTGGCGGTGATTTTTGATCACAAACGCTCCGTGAGTTTTTCACCGGTGACAGACGCTGTTTTTTGGGCAGAAATGTGACGAAGAGTCGGTAGGACAGACAGGAGGACAGACAGGAAGACAGACAGGAGGACAGACAGGAAGACAGACAGGAGGACAGACAGGAGGACAGACAGGAGGACAGACAGGAGGACAGACAGGAGGACAGACAGGAGGACAGACAGGAGGACAGAAGGAGGAAGACAGGAGACAGACAGGAGGGCAGGAAGACAGACAGGAGGACAGACAGGAGGGACAGGAGGACAGACAGGAGGACAGACAGGAAGACAGACAGGAGGACAGACAGGAGGACAGACAGGAGGACAGACAGGAGGACAGACAGGGGTTCAACTCCCTACAGTGTCCTTGCTAAAAGACAAATTATATGAAAACACAATAGTTATCAATCTACACATTTCACAACAATGATTATTTAATAACAATCAATGAATATAATCATTGATTATCATTATTAGTTCAAAAGGAGTCTATACTGTTTATGTGACAACCAACAAATTCAGATAAGAAAATATTGATCAGTCCCAGATCTGTCATTATTTATTGACTGATTAATGAATTAATGATCAGAATAGTTGCTGAGGATTTCTCTGTTAATTGATTGGTTATTTCAGATCATTCATGTAGTCACTGCAGTTAAAATAATCAGATAAACAGAATCAAACTGATTAAATGATTTGATTATTGATTACCAATATATATAATTATTGATTAGTTCATCAATCATCAGTCCAGTTTACTGTCAGCAGGCGATGGATCAATAAATGACTCATCAATCATCAGTTGATGGACTACAGAAAATCAATGAACATACTTAAATAAAGTTACAGATACTATTGATTATTTATGGTTTTATATGTGAAAGAAAACATCTGATCAATATCAGTGACTTATTGATTGATCATTTTAATGTAATCATCCTCTGACGTCATTGACCATCAATAACACAAACAGGAGGGATTTGATCAAGTAAACTGGAACCCCTTCTATCTGATTTATTGATAAACGGATCGATAACTGATCACCACACTGTTTCTGCTGTTAGCATTAGCATAACGGTGCTAACAAGGTCACGCGCTGTTCGGGACTCACCTGCGGGTTGTAGACGGTGGCGGGAGCTCCGGTGAGCCGCTGCGTCACTGCGTTCAGTCTGTAGTACATGTCTACGTCAGCTACCTGCCCGGAACTCACCGGAACTCACCGGAACTCACCGGAACCGACACCGAACCTGTTATTAGTCAGAACACACCGCTAACCGCTAACCGCTAACTGCTACTGACGGCCCTGCGATGCCTGCGTGATGACGTAAGAGCAGCGCTGAAGGACCCGCGGCTGGAGGGCGTCCGTGGTCTGCCTGACCGGAAGTCCAAAATACTACAGAATAAAATTCACTAAAAAGGAAACGTTTAAACGAATAGTAAAGTGAACTTTTCAAAAATACTTACACATTTTCTCAAAGGGAACATAAATTGCATTTATACAACAAAATATTTATCCTCTCTCAATTACCAAAAAATAAAATCGACAAGGCTTTGTTACAAATAATAATAATAATTATAATAAAAATAATAATAAAAAAGATAGATAAGATAAGGTTCATAAGATTAAAACAAACAAAAAAAATAAATAAATACAGCAAGGCAAAAACCCAAAACAAATAAATGCAAGATTACAAATCAAGGCATCCTGTCTAATTGAGACTCCTCCACACCGACACTCTGCACCACACAGCAGCCTCTATCAGCCCACCAATTCCTTCATATTCATCTGCCAGTAAACCCAAGGCATCAAAGTATTTGTTTAACTCATTTTTAAAACACATCAATGACGGTGATCTCCCTTTCCACTTACAATTGTGTATGTGATATTTGCCTAAAATTATAATTATATTTATTAGATCAGAAATATTTTGGGGGACATTTTCATTGTATACCATAATTTGATCCTTATTAAAGGGTGTGATGTTATCTGTTTTACTTTTTAACCAGTCATACATTCATTAACAGGAAGTTGACCTTGAAATGCATCCTCTGAGGAAAATGACATAAGCTTTAACTAGTTTTCATCATCAGGTCTAAAAAATGTATTACACAAACCTTTAATGGAAACATGATTATGTTGCATTAATGCAACATAATCAACTACAAATTTATCAATATCATATTTCTATTTTGTAATTACGTTGTTTTTACACACAGTTTGGTTGAAATGGACGGTGCTAATGTGTATGTATATTATTCTGTCCTGGCAGATACGTCACTGTATTGTTATACAGATAGCGAACATCAACAATAAGACTCTGTAGGCTGGACTCCAAGTTCAGTGTTTTCTTTACTGAAATCCTGGTTGTTTTCTTTTTTGTAAAACTGCAATACAGTATAAAATAAACAATATGTTACAGTCAAATATGTGCAACATCAACATAAGTATAATAAACACAGCATATTTACAATATGATTCACTCAAAACCCATAAGCAAATGAGCTTAATAAAACAGGCAAGTAAATCATCATAAATGAGGCTTAACAGCCTGTGCTAACTCTATAACTTATATATATAGGCCAGCTAAACCCATGCTACCGGTTAGCACTGCGATTAGCGTTAGCGATAGCCCGATTTTAACTGAAAATAAACATTTATATAAACGTAACAACAATAGTACAACGTCTACACGTTTCAACTTCTTTAACAACTGAGTGACCATACTCACTGATGGATCTACTCCAAGGATTGACAAATAACTGGTGGAGCATTCAGTCTGCATGTATGTACTGTTGGCAATCTCCTTAAAACACAATGATTCAAATCACCACCAGATGTTGCTACATAACATTAGCAAAGCACTGACACTGATAGGAGTCAGAACATATATATAGAAGCATTGTGTATTCTCCATAGGCTCAGATTATTTCATGGACCTCGAATCAACCACAGAAATGTTCAAAGTTTACACTAATAGACTAACCAAACCTAACTAATCTACGGTTAGTAATCGGACCTGTGAGACAGAAGAGAGATATGTTTTACTGCAATGAAATGTGTTCAAATGAAGGTGAAATTATATCAGAGTATGAATTCAATTGTGTGATATATGTTTACACTAGCCTACATTAATTATAAGAAGTGTTGTATGCAAAGCTTCCTTAATTCAGTATTTTATTCTATTTATTTTTATTTTTACAATATTTAATTGTTTATTTTTTATTTCTACAGTAGTCAGTTTTATTTGTATAGCGCCAATTCATAACAGAAGTTATCTCAGGACACTTTTCAAACGAGCAGGTCTAGACTGAACTCCTTATAACATTATTTACAGAGACCCAACAGTTCCACCATGAGCAAGCACTTGAAGACAGCAGCAAGGAAAAACTTCCTTTTAAGAGACAGAAACCTTGGACAGACCCCGACTCTAGGTGGGTGGCCATTTTTCTTAACGCCTAGGACCCGCCGTTTAATGCAAAGAGCACAGCTTTTAATGTTGATGGTCTTTAGATAACACTGAGCGCTGTACCCCAAAAACAGACAGTTTTACCCACAAACCATCACTTGGACCAACAGTTAACTGCCCTGTACAATAACTCTATGACTCATCCACTGAATCTGGAAACTATTTATTCATTATTTTCCCATTGTTGACATTTAAAAAAAAAAAACATAAACCATAAATACTATTGTTTTAATACATCTACCTACACTTTATATATATATATATATATAAAGTATATACTGTCATATCCACCTACCCAATATACACAAAGAAACCTGCACATTAAGTATTTATTTCAGCTTCCTTTGCCATATTGTCTGCTGTCAGGATTTAGAGTTCATCACAGCACAGAGACAGCTCTGGTTAAAGTTAATAATGACCTTTTGATTGCTTCAGACGATGGATTTGTCTCTGTACTTGTATTATTAGATCTTAGTGCTGCATTTGACACCATTGACCATAATATTCTTTTACAGAGACTTGAGCATCAAATTGGCATTAAAGGAACCGCATTAAGCTGATTTAAGTCATATTTATCAGATTGTTCGCAGTTTGTACATGTTAACGATGAATCTTCAATAAATGCTACAGTTAGTCATGGAGTTCCACAAGGTTCTGTACGTGGACCAATACTATTTACTTTATATATGCTCCCTTTAGGCAATATTATTAGAAATCACTCCATTAACTTTCACTGTTATGCAGATGATACGCAGTTATATCTATCGATCAAGCCCGATGAAATTAATCAATTATCTAAATTACAAACATGTCTTCAGGACATAAAATCCTGGATGAGCTGCAATTTTCTGATGTTAAACTCAGAAAAAAACGAAATTCTTGTTCTTGGCCCCAAAAACCTTAGAGACTCACTGTCTAAAGATATAGTTACTCTAGATGGCATTACCTTGGCCTCTAGCACCACTGTCAGGAATCTTGGAGTTATCTTTGATCAGGATTTGTCATTTAACTCCCACATGAAGCAGACCTCTAGGACTGCCTTCTTTCATTTACGTAATATTAAATTAGACACATACTATCACAGACAGATGCAGAAAAACTAATCCATGCATTTGTTACTTCAAGGCTGGATTACTGCAACTCTTTATTATCAGGTTGCCCCAATAAGTCCATTAAAACGCTCCAATTAATTCAGAACGCTGCAGCACGAGTACTGACAGGAACTAGAAAAAGAGATCACATCTCTCCTGTACTAGCTTCTCTGCACTGGCTCCCTGTAAAATTTAGAATAGAATTTAAAATCCTCCTCCTCACCTATAAAGCTCTTCATGGTCAGGCCCCTTCATATCTTAAAGAGCTCATAGTACCCTATTACCCCACTAGAACACTACGTTCTCTGAATGCTGGGATACTTGTGGTTCCTATAGTCTCTAAAAGTAGAACAGGAGCCAGAGCCTTCAGTTACCATGCTCCTCTCCTGTGGAATCAGCTTCCAGTTGTGGTTCAGGAGTCAGACACCTTCACCTCATTCAAGAGTAGGCTTAAGACATTCCTCTTTGATAAAGCTTATAGTTAGGGCTGGATCAGGTGAGTCCTGAACCATCCCTTAGTTATGCTGCTATAGGCCTAGACTATCGGGGGATTTCCCATGATGCACTGAGCTCCTCCCTTCCTCTCTCTTTCTTCACTCATTCATGTTCCATTAATGCATGTTACTAACTTCACTTCTTCCCCAGAGTTCTTGTGCTTTCTCGTCTTGCAGGTTCTTATCGATCCTGGTGGAGCCTCCTGCCATGGTCCTGCTAGATTGCCATTACCAATACTGTTGTTGCTGTGCACCTGTCTGTCTGTCTGTCTGTCTCTCTCTCTCTCTCTCTCTCTCTCTCTCTCCCACCCACCTAGAGCCGGAGGATCTGTCCTAGGTTTCTGCCTTTTAACAGGCAGTGTTTCCTTGCCCTTGTCGCCAAGTGCTTGCTCATGGTGGTACTGTTGGGTCTCTGTAAATAATGTTATAAAGAGTTCGGTCTAGACCTACTCTATTTGAAAAGTGTCCTGAGATAACTTCTGTTATGAATTTGCGCCATACAAATAAAATTGAATTGAATTGAATTGTCTACAAATCTTAATATTGTTGTGTTTATTTATGCTGTTAGTCTGTGTTTGTACATTTAGAGCAAAGAGTCAAATTCCTTGTATGTGTGTACATACCTGATTAATGAAGTGATTCTGAGTCTGATCAGTTCCCCAGGAGGAGTTCGTTAAAATACAACGTGTGCAAATCACCAAAAATGGCCACTCAATCCAAAATGGCTTCCTGTTGGGTTAGGGTCCCAGAGGGTCACCAGTACATCTGAGGCTGCTCTATAGGGGGCGCCAGTGAGACCCATAGAATATGTCAATTCTTACAGCGACTGACGTGTGTTGAAGCCTCCAAAAAAACAATTTATTTGTTAAATAATAAGAAATACAGAACATGCACTGAGAATCAGTACAGTATGTTCTAGGTATGTCAGCTCAGTGTATTTATAATGCTGAGCAGCACAGATGGCACACTGTGGTTGTTTCCGTTGAAAACGTGCACTATTGAGCTTTATATTAAACGTTGCCATGTCACTGATTTTAATGGTGGAGGATGCATTGTTTATTGTATACATGTATGGTTTCCATTACCAAACCTTAGATGTATTTTTAATATGCTAGTATATTTAAGTAATTTAACTGTTTAAGGTAGAAGTAACTCAACATTTCAGCTAATGTAAATCAACATTTGGATAAAATATTCAACCATTCTTATGGGGTAGAATTAACCCAGCATTGTGTCAGCCCAAAAGTTACCTGGTCCAATGTGGTTGGGTGATTGGGTTGTTTTTAACCCAGCATTTTTACTGAGTATCTATACACATAAAAAATACATAAAAATAATATATATCTCTATATTTAACAGTTTTGCATTGAAGAATCAAGTATATGAACATATTAGTTTAACACTATAAAATATCTGTTGTTTTATATATATTTACATAATATATAATTTTAGTAATTGTTTTTTAATTAATATAATTAATATTTTAACCTCAAACACATGCAGTTTTTAAGAGTCCATTTTTATTAGTTTTATAAACCTGTACTTCTTGATTTTTCCTTATGGGGATCAGTAAAAGTTATAGGATTATCTCATGAACTGATCACTCTCATTAATGACTCATCAGAAACACAACCTGGTCCTTTAATGAAGAAATGAACAATATTTCAGAGATAAAGTGCTCTGTGAGACAGAGTAGATAAATAGTGAGACTGGTTAAAGGGACAGTCTGTGCAGTTGTGCTTTGGTTTGAACCCTGCAGTATTTCACACCAAAGAAGAAGAAATAATGTCTTCAGTGAGATTATTCACACTTCAGCAACTCCACCGTCATGACATTCAAAACCAAATGTTTCCAACACTTCAACTTCCTGTCTCTGAGTCTACAGTTGCCATGGAAACCGTGGACGGTATCCAGCCGGTCCCAACAGTTCGTTATACCACAGACAACTGGTATAATCCCTGACAGTCCACAGAAGAGTTGGTCCTGAGGGCGCAGAAAGTATTTCTGAGATCAGGATCAGACCTGAAGGGGTTCACATGGACTAAGACAGCACTCCAGAAGGATCTTTAAGTCTGTCTGCGCAGGTCAAAGATCATTGTGATAGTTGATGGAAAACCTTGTGTTCAGATAATTTTACTTGTTGATTTCAAACAATTCAACAAACACAAAGGTTTACAACAAATTCATATTTGTTATATTATATACTTATTTTGTGATCTTCTTCAGGGAAATTATTAATAACTGATGGACCTGAAACATTACTGACAATAATGTAGATTGATTATATTGAAGGTGAAAAGGTGTGAGAAGTTTTCCAAGGACTCTTCTGGCCCCTGTCCTTGGCAGTGACATCAGTTGATGAACTCGGCGGACAGGCTATGGGTGCAGCGGGCAGAGCGCACCTTCAGCTCGTGGTAGCACTGGACAAAGCTGTGGTAGATGAAGGTAATGGGCAGTGCCAGTAGCACGATGCCGCTCACTACACAAAGGCCACCCAGCACGCGGCCCGCCACTGTCACTGGATACATGTCTCCGTACCCCACTGTTGTCATGGAGATGATGACCCACCAGCAGGCAGCGGGGATGCTGGCATAGTCCTGGTTTCCTGCCTCCAGGTCCAGGCCATGCTCCAGCAGCTGGGCCAGTGCACTGAAGATCGCCATAGCAACGCAGATAAAGATCAGTAGCATCATCATCTCGCGGTAGCAGCGCCGTAGCGTCAGGCCCAGCGTCTGTAGACCGAGGAAGTGACGCGCCAACTTAATCACCCAGAAGATTCGCATAATGCGCAGGACTCGCAGTGTGACACCAGCCCGCTGCAGCTGCGAGTTCTCCCCCGTCAGGATCGTCACGGTAACGGAGACGTAGTATGGAGTGATGGCCAGCAGGTCGATGATGTTCAGAGGACGACAGACAAACTCACATTTATCCCGAGACACAAGGAAACGGATGATACACTCTGTTGTGAACCAACCGATACACACCGCCTCAATGATCCTGCAGCAGGGATCAATCAGAGAGAGACAAGGATCAATCAGAGAGCGACAGAATCAGAGTTATGGATGAACAAGATGGTCCAATCAAAGGTGATTGTGCCTATTTGATTTTAAGTTAGACATGAACAATGTATATTATCACAGTCTGAATCAAATGTTACCAATGAGCACATATTGAAACATATAACCAGAGTATATATAAGTATATACATATATATGTATGTATGCACCACAATCTATTTCCTCAGGTGGTCTCAGTGTCCTACCTGTGCTGGTCCAGGGTCTCGGCGGTCTTCCAGTCCGGTAAGGTGCTGGCACACAGCATCACCATGGAGATGACCACAAACAGCACTGACACCGAGGCAAGGATTTGCGCCGCAAGCGAAGATGTGGGCTCCTCGAACGTCCTCCTCATCCTCTCTAGCCAGCGGCTCTGGGGCTCCTCGTGGCCCCGTGGCTCCTCCTCGGGGAAGAAGTGGACGAAGCAGTCGGACATGCGGTCATCGAGGCGTCGCTGGCAGCACGGCTGCAGGTCGGCACTCTCCAGGCCCCAGTACAGCATCTCATTATAGAAGGACAACTCGCACATGTGCGGCACAAAACGCAGCTTCCCATGCTGCACATACAGCATTATGAAACTGAAGGCCTCCGAGTGCCGGTCAAAAAAAAACTCGTTCCTGTCACGGTCGTAGTCATCGCAGAGCTCCAGCAGCTCGCTTTCTGACACGCAGCGATGCAGCCGGCTAAGTCTGCTGAGAGGGAGGCGCTTCATCAGCTCTGCTGAGAAAGAAAACCTACGACCACCGACATTCAGTGTGCAAAGACTGTTTCCAAACTTCATCTTATTTCAATTAAAACCTAGACTGATTCCAGACTTCCTCACCAGTTTGCAATAAGAACCAACAGACCCACAGAGGATCTCCACTCAGTTTTCACACATTCTGACTTTAGAATGCTGTTTGTTGATTTCAGCTCAGCATTCAATACAATTAAAAAGATACAGTGGGTTTATCAGAAGTGGAAAATTATTTCTTACAAAGAGTGGGAGCCCTGATGACTGCATTCGCTGACATGGAGTCAACTCACCTCCATCATCAGACGGATTTCAAACCACAATGAGACTTCATATTGGGAGGAAATCAACAAAAAAAACACCTGTTGCTCAACGTCAGGAACACCCAGCAGCTGACTGTTTATTTTAGGACACTTCCTGTTTACAGTTTTAGGTTCCTGGAAATCAACATACAACACATACCGGAGTATCTGCTGCCGTCTGACAACACATACCAGAGTATCTGCTGCCGCAGACTACAGAGCAGCTTCTTCCCTGAGGCTGTGAGACTGCTAACCGCTAAAAATGCAGATGGCTTTCAAACTTCATTCCTTGATTAAAACATAGATCGCTGTTTCCAGACTTTGTCAAAAGTTGAAGCTGCTTCCAAACTGATTTTTTCTTTCAGACTTTTTCTTCTCTCTCAAACAGAAGCTCTTCATTCTCATCAGATTTTCTTCTTTCCTTCAGTGCTTGAATGAAATTAAAAATGTTAAGCGTTATTTTGGTCTTGATGATCTACTGGCTCACATTGATGTGATCTCTCTCTCTCTCTCTCTCTCTCTCTCTCTCTCTCACTCCATTATTAAATTTAGACACATTTTCTAGTCAAACAACAAATAATACAGTGAATCATATTTACAAGGATTAACAGAATCACATTTAAGATTGAAAACTCACCAAATTTCAGCGTCGAAGCTGAAGCAGACACAAGCCGGTATACATTTTCTGAGACTGAAGAGAAGCAGCAGCACATCCTCCTCTTCCTCCACCTCCTCCTCTTCCTCCTGTCTGAGAGAAGGAAGATCAGAGTCGATGATTCAAATAACACTCAGTCTGAGCTGCAGAGAATCTGAACCTCCACAAACCTGAGAGTGAGAAGAGACACTCCTCCTCCTCCTCCTCCTCCTCCTACTTTTACATTTTATTCTTCCTCCTCCTCTTCTTCAGATCTGATCCATCATCACCTAGAATTAAACATTGAATTCATGTTAATTTCATGTTTCAGTGAACATCAAAAGCAGATTATGTTTGAATAATGAGTCAGACTTTATTAATTCATTAACAACCTGCAGAGAAGAATGGCTCCCCCTGCTGGATGAGTCTGTGAACTGCACATGTTTTTCTTTACTGATTTACAGGAAGAAACTCATTCTCTCTTTATTTGGGTCTGTTCTTTTTATTCACTAAGGACTAAATGGTCTTGATTCGACCATTTGGTCCTTACTGAATTAAACTTTACTTGTCAGTCAATATTCTACAATACCAATGTTTTTCTTCTTTCGTTTAATAATTTATATTTACAGAAAACTATAATTCAGACACCAAATGTATCATTGGCACCAATTTTAAATTATTTAAATGTCCATTTAGTTGATGTCCCCACAGTGTTGCATGTTGTTGGTAGAATACCGCTGTTACCTTCGATGTTGAATTAAAAATGAAGATCATTATTGAAGCACCTTGAACATTTAAAGTGGTTTAAAGTCAATCATACTATGGATTGATCACAATCAGACCTCAAAGCTGCTGCTCACAACTTTACCATCAGTAATACATGTGTGAAATGTGCACATTTCAAATACTGGATAAATGAAACTTAATTAGGTGTTCAGTCACACAGTAGCAGTAATTTGGAGATCCCGTCTTCATCTTGCTTTCTACAAATTTTAAATACTTTAGAAATGAGAAAGAATTTAAGAAATTCTGCACATTTATTTGACCAAATCGAAGCCTTCATACAATATATATACAATTTAAAGAAAAGATTTTAGGCCTTCATTTGTGGTTTGGCTGCAAACAATAAAGATGATATAAAAATGTTGATAAAAATCTAAAAGGATGGAGGAAGTTGACCGAGGCTTGCTCAACTCTTATAGGAGCACAGAGAAAAAATGGGCGGGACTTAGGACAAGTTCACTGTAACATTCTGGTGAAATAATGAATACAATTCAAATTTGATTTCTCTGATTATCTGAATGTTATTTCTGACTATTCACAAACATCTGTTTTAAATCAGCAGCTTGCTGAATTCACAGTGGAAATGATCAATAACCATCGTTACGTTGCTCTCTCAGCCCTCGAGGGGTCGATCTCACTGATGGAATGATTCAACGAGAGCATGTTGAACTTCAGTGCAACCAGTCAGACTGCATCCTTTCATGGCGAAGTGAGGACTGTAGGACCCAAGTGTTGAATTGAATCAGTTTCTACACAGACCAGCAGGGGACAGAGCAAAGCTGCACTCTGATGAAGTTCATGGATCAAGGTTCAGTAAGTGGAGCTCTGATTGGTTGAAATGGTTTCTGATTACAGCTACGTCACTGATTGTTTGAATTGAGTGTAATTCTGAAAAAACAAAATCCAACGAGCGCCACCACAACATTTTCCGGTTGTGCTGATTGCACTTGTTCTACATACTGTAAAATAACAGAAAACAACTGACTGAATTTTTTTAATTAAAAACAGTTCTTACACATGTGGAAACAATGTATTGACCTATAAATACAGGTTTAAATCTGAGATTTTAAAAGTCATAAAACTGTTTTCAAAGATAAAAACAGTATTTTGACAGTTCAGCAATGCTTGTACACTGATAAAAAACATATATTCAACATTTTTGTTGTGAAAACTTTATGCAAAGAGACAATACCTGTATTGTATAAGAGTAACGCTTGCGTACCGAGTGTCGTAAGGCAGAGTGCATAGGAGTTAACAATGCTCATGTTCATAGATTGCAAGATGATACGTTTCCATTCCCCAAAAACATGAGCATGTTCAATGAAACAAAACTGTAATTTAAACGTCAGCAGCCAAAGGTATTTATGCAGCATTCTTATGTTATAATATATATAATGTTATAAAGAGTTCGGTCTAGACCTGCTCTATTTGAAAAGTGTCCTGAGATAACTTCTGTTATGAATTGGGGCTTTACAAATAAAATTGAATTGAATTGAATTGAATTGAATAAAGTTGGACTAAATTTCGCCTGTAAGGTTACCACAAGAATCGTTTTAGTATTTAGTATTTTACTGTATTTATTGTATTGAATGGGGAATGTTAAACAACTTTTACTTAAAAAATTGGATGCCCTTCCTAGATTATATACCTGCAGATCTGAAAAATCTGCTATTGGGGGGCAGACAGTTTTCTGATTGGAATAGTCAGGCCCCTTCATATCTTAAAGAGCTCATAGTACCCTATTACCCCTCTAGAACACTACGTTCTCTGAATGCTGGGCTACTTGTGGTTCCTATAGTCTCTAAAAGTAGAACAGGAGCCAGAGCCTTCAGTTACCAAGCTCCTCTCCTGTGGAACCAGCTTCCAGTTGTGGTTCGGGAGGCAGACACCCTCACCACATTTAAGAGTAGGCTTAAGACGTTCCTCTTTGATAAAGCTTATAGTTAGGGCTGGATCAGGTGAGTCCTGAACCATCCCTTAGTTATGATGCTATAGGCCTAGACTATCGGGGGATTTCCCATGGTGCACTGAGCTCCTCTCTTCCTCTCTCTTTCTGCACTCATTCATGTCCCATTAATGCATGTTACTAACTCCACTTCTTCCCCGGAGTTCTTGTGCTTTCTCGTCTCGCAGGTTCTTATCGATCCTGGTGGAGCCTCCTGCCATGGTCCTGCTAGATTGCCATTGCCAATACTATTGTTACTGTACACCTGTCTGTCTCTCTCTGTCTCTGTCTCTCTGTCTATCTGTATGTCTCTCTCTCTCTCTCTCTCTCTCTCACCCCAACTGGTCGAGACAGACGACCACCCACCTAGAGCCGAAGGATCTGTCCTAGGTTTCTGCCTTTTAACAGGCAGTTTTTCCTTGCCCTTGTCGCCAAGTGCTTGCTCATGGTGGTACTGTTGGGTCTCTGTAAATAATGTTTTAAAGAGTTCGGTCTAGACCTACTCTATTTAAAAAGTGTCCTTAGATAACTTCTGTTATGAATTGGCGCTATACAAATAAAATTGAATTGAATTGAATTGCAGTAAAATAGCTGTGCCTCTTGAGCGACTATTGAAGTTGGAGTGGAAAACCTGTCCAACACAGGGTTTCCGTCGTCTGGTGTGGTCGCATAGACGAAGATGGGTTTCTTGTAGAAACGCAATGTCTGTTTTCACATTCTTAAGGTGTGAAAGTACTTTTGTCCTTTGAATAGGTCCACCAAGTTCCCTGACGTTCCAGCTTGTGAGCCTGATGGTTTGTTGCATGTCTTTGTGGCTTATGTCAGTCATAGAATCAGTGCCAAAATATCAATCCTCCAAGTGCTCTGATGATATGGTGACTTAGCCGGGTCATCTTAGTAATAGAAAGCAAAGTAGCAACAACATATAAAGTGCCATCGTGAGATTCTAGGGAAAAAAGAACACTCCTCTACCAAAGATATACAAAAAAAGAGAAAAAGTCCCAAACACAACAACAGCAGATGTCCTTAGTGACACCTTCAAGTTCAAAAGATACTTACATATTTGGCCTAACCTCATCTTTAACACCGATGACCATGCAGGAACTACTACTTTACACAGCCGATTGATTGATAGGAGTTTGCTTCCTTTTCGACTGTGAAAATGTGTACACCTCTGATATTTACCATTTGACAGCGTAAAAACCTTAGTGTACCAGATTTCCTTTCTTAACAAAAAACAAAAACAAAAAAACAATTGTACTCTCCATAGGAAATCTTTGGACAAATGTTTAAAAGCACAATCAAATCTGTGATAATAATAATTGAATCTTTCATAGTTGGAACTTAGTTGTAAGTTTGTAGGTGATCTTAGCAGAAAGAACGGGGCTGAGTCTTCCAGCTCCGCCTGTGTACCTTTAATATTCATTTAACTTCACACAGACATCTAACAAAACTCAGTTGCGTTCTCAACAAGGATAAATTACAGTGAGACGCCGTAGGCCCACAATGCAGACCGGTCTGCCTGTAACTTCAGTCCAGTTTTCATAGAGCACCAAAAAAGTTAAAGGAGATGTGTAAAGAGACGTCTTGTTTTCACTTACTGCTGAGATCACGGTAGAAACGCTCCGCTTCATCCGCGGAGTCAAATATGCAAGACTGTCCATTAACAGTGACCCGTAACTGCGCCGGGTAGATCAGCCCGAAGCGTATCCCATCCTTATAAAGGAGAGACTTCACTTTGTTAAATGATGCCGTTTCTTGGCGAGTGAGACACTGAAATCCTCAAAGATCCTTATGGGATAACCCTGGTATGAGTTGCTCTGTGTTTCCTTCGCCCATAGTAGCACTCGCTCTTTCTGGTTGTACCTGTAAAAGTGTACAAGAATGGGCCGGGAACCCTGTGCTGGCATGTGATCATTCTGCCGCCATTACCAGAAGTCCACAAATATAATGTTAAAATCCATTCAGGAGATGCTCCTTGTCACCAGGACCAAAGTATTAGAAGACTGTTGCAACACAGAGATTTACAGCTGCTCTGACCAGAACTGGAAACAGCAGGTTCAGGCAGGGGCAGGAGAGATGTGAAGCAGGAGAGGTTGTAGTGTGTTGATTTATGAGTGAAGTTAGAAGTTATTTATTGCTAGTCTAACCCCCCTCCTCCTTTGCGGGTGGAGTCTGCTGGAGTCCAATGGTTGAGACCAGGTCTGAGGAAGCGTAAGTGTGAAAACAAAGCAGCACACATTCAACCATCTTCGCACTGTGACATCCCTTATTTACAGCTGTGACGGCGGCTGTGGCTCAGAGGTAGAGTGGGTCGTCAACTAATCAGAAGGTTGGCGGTTCAATCCCCGGCTCCTCTTGCTGCATGTCGAAGTGTCCCTAAGCAACAGTGCCGGCCCGTGGCATAGGCAGTATAGGCAAACGCTAAGGGCGCCGTCCATTTAAGGGGTGCCACAATGGGGGGAAGAAAAAAAGAAAAAAGGTGCAACCTTCAATATTTTTATACTAAAACAAGTTGGTGCTATTATTTCTTAATATTTAAAAGAAAAACCCACATTAACTTAACTGCATAGCAAAGCCTATTAAACAATAATAAGACTTTATTAAGCCCCCTGCCCCGACTGATTAGACTCTACCTGCTCTCTGAGAGATGGTTGAGTTTTCCGACGTGACCCCAGAAACCATTAACAATGTCAAAATGACCAAAACTTTCTGGTGCCCAGGGAAGGAAAAAAGAAGAGGAGGAAAAACGCGACAAAGATAGAGGTAGAGTAAAGATAATGTGATGAAATGATTTGCCTGTTGCAGAACGATAGTAACCTTTAGCCTAACACGGTTTGCTAATCAATAAATAGCGTTAGCTCGTTTTAACGTCAGTTCGTGTTATGGAGGGGCCTATAATATATATAATACTCCCTCCTTATATTTCTCAGGGACATTTGTAAAGATTACATCTATTCAGTAGGTGTTTACATTTGTCTACATTTTTATTTCTATTTATTATTGTTTAGCTAACGTTTGCTCTGCTTGTAACAGCCAGTCAAATGCTATTCCTTTCATACACCTTGATATATTAGAGTTGTAAGCCTTGTTGTTTGTTGTGTTACAGTTCAGTATTGTCTAAAGTGTGTTTATAGTGTTAAACTTTACATCCATGTTAAAGTGCACATCATTAATGTTAATACATTCCCATATGTTATATGATACTGCAGTTTACTGCTTCTGTTATAAGGAGTTCTGTCTAGACCTGCTCTATTTGAAAAGGGTCCTGAGATAACTTCTGTTTTGAATAGGCGCTATACAAATAAAATTGAAAATAAAAAATTAAATTATTTGCATTCCGCTAATCAGCATTTCACTGTAATGAATAATATTAAATCTGATCTAATTTGCATATCAGAAAAAATGCACTGTATATCATTCATGTACAGTACAGTGAAAGTAATGCATCTCTTAAGTTTTTCATTTTTATTATCTAATTTTATTCTTGGACTCATTTCTTTTATTATTAGACTGTATCACCCAATGGTGTCACTTACTCCTCTTCTCTCTTCAGATGTGCTGTTGAAATATCTAAATCCACCTCCTGCTAATCCTGAGCCATCTACAGTCATTGCCGCTTCAACAGCATCAGGTTATCCACTTGTCGCCTCTACCTCCACCAACCCAGTGATGCAGCATCAGGAATAAAGGCTGCACCAATAGACCCTGCTGACTGGCCATCTCCTCTAACTGATGACGTACGAACAGGGTTAGTTCACAGAGGTCCATTTGTGTAGGCTATTCATATTACATTTCTTGTATTATTTATTTCTAATTTATTATTTTCTTGTTAACTGTTTTGATTGAGCAACTTTTTTCTCTAAAAATAAAATAAAATGTCATAGATAAAGCTATTCAGTGTCTTGCGTATGTATATAACTGGTAGTGGAATTTACTGCGATGCAAGTGGGGCGCCACCTAAAATCTTGCCTAGGGCGCCAAATTGGTTAGGGCCGGGCCTTCTGAGCAAGACACTGAACCCCAAATTGCTCCTGATGCTGTGATATTTCCTGTTGCCACTAGGTGGTGCTCTCACTATCACTGAATATTATCACATATACGTGTTCAGGGCGGGACTCTTATCAAACATGTGAAGTTTCATTGAGATCGGACGCAGAAGTTATGACAAATCCCTCTTTCATGGCGAGTTGTTGAAATTCCACACCATTCCACGTGTATGCTCTTGGACGGAGTGTCGTAAATAGTACTTTTAATCATTAATGTCTTTAGATGGCTGTGTCCAAATCTGAAGTTGTTCCGATCAATTCCCTAGGAGGAGTTCGTTCAAATACAACGTGTGCAAATTGCCAGAAATGGCCGCTAAATCCAAAGGGGCCGACTTCCTGTTAGGTTTGGGATATGGCAACCACTGGATTATTTGTTTGTCTGGATAAGATCTACGCGTGTGCCGATTTTTATGCATATCGATGAATGGGGCCCTGGATGGTACAGTTTATGGGCCCCTGAGGGGCCATTTTGCCATGCTCATAGTGGACCCCAAGAAATATCAAAATTTTCACCATGACTGACCACTTTGCCAAATAAAATTGACTTTTCGTATATATGTTCAGGGGGGCAAAAATGCAGTTGAAGGGGCTAAAAATAATAATAAGAAACATAGCAAAAACATTAGGTTGCTTGCTAGGTCACTAATAATATGAGTAATATTAGCAGTGGGGGTCAAGCAGGACCATGGTAGCAGAAACTACAGTACAGTTGCTAACTAGATCCAGTGTTTGGTTTATCTGTTCTGGGCTACCTTAGAAACATGGTGATTCAATATGGCCAACTCTTTGGCATACCTATGAATATTGTATTACAGTAATGTGACACACTGGCGCTTTAAACAGGAACAAAAAACACAACCCAACAGTTATTTTTGACACCTGAGATAAACTTAACCAAAAATCCAGATTAATAAAATAAATCTTCTCAGTTTCCTACAGTTTGTCTGATCTGATCTGCCTTCTAGACCCCCTACCAGAAGATCTGTGGGCCCTCCAGTGCTGCATATTGTAAATCTGTCACAGTCCCCATTAGACCTTTACTTCAGAAAGCACTGTAGGAGAAATTCTTCCAAAACATTGAGAGTTGCTAGTTCTCTGAAGAAATTACAGGCCGGTGTGATGAATCAAGTCACTTTATTTCATGCAGCATGGAGAGAAGAGCATTGATATTCTCTCCCAGACTTTCAGGATAATCTATCTTATATACCATCCAGTATACCCAAAAACACCTGGTTTCCTCCTAACAGTACCACTGTAAAACACATGTGAAGGCCTCATGCCTTCGTTAATACAATGGTCCTTTGATCTGACAATGTGACTTATTAACAGATTCTTAGCAGACTTCTCTCTACCATAAAAATCACCAACCCCCTAAACCAAATTTAATACATTTATTAGCCCATCTAAAACATTTGTCTACCTAAGCACACTTTGATCTCTCTGATTAGGGTTAAGGTTAGGGGTTAAACCCTGACCCTTCACAGCACTCTTTATGAACCTCTCAATGTGCTGGAGGTTCATTAATGTAAATTGATTTTACACTGGAAACTGACTCATCTCAAAGTCTTCTAAATGGCTCACTGTCTGAAACGTCTCTTGCTGTGTTGCGTGCTGCGTTAAAAGGATTTGACTGTAAATCTCATCACAGCTGCTGCTAATAATACACACACACACCTGACCTTGACCTCTGACCTTCAACTGATCCTCCTTCCACACTGTTCACACACGAACACACATTTTATTATAGTTGTTGTTGTTGTTATAATATATATTATATTTCCACCCTTACTATATTTTTGCTTTGCTTTGTAAACTCTAAAGGTAAAAAAAAAAAAAAAAAGTGCTGCTTTTATTTTAAAATATGATATATGACATGTTTGTCATTCTCGTTTTGGGTTTTCTTTCGTTATTTTATTTTGTAATTTTCCTCCTCTTGTGTCTGTTTTCCCTCCAGTTTTGATTGTTTTCACCTGCTTCTTTAGACTTGGTTTTTGGTTATGTGTCAGATGATATTGGTTTTGTCCCTGGCTACTTCCTTATGTGCTACGAAGGAAGTGGAACCTCCATAGATTGAACTCAGATGATCAATTAAAGTTGCTTTGACAAACTGTGATTGATACACTGCTGTGAAACTACAACACTGATTAAAATATTAGTTAGTTGAATCGCTGTCAACTTAATCTGAGGTCGTGTGTGTTCACATTAAAGGGTCGTGTTCAGCAGCAGGAGAATGTCCAGTGATAATCTCAGGATATGAGGAGTTTAATGTGACTGCAGTAAGAGTTTTATTTGTATAGCGCCAATTCATAACAGAAGTTATCTCAGGACACTTTTCAAATAGAGCAGGTCTAGACCGAACTTATTTACAGAGACCCAACAGTTCCCACCATGAGCAAGACATTGTCTTGGAGACAGCGGCAAAGAAAAACTTCCTTTTAAGAGGCAGAAACCTAGGACAGACCCCGACTCTAGGTGGGTGAGATGGAGAGAGAGAGAGAGGGTGAGACAGAGAGAGAGAGAGAGAGAGAGAGAGAGAGAGAGCAGGAGAGAAAATTCAGAATATACATATTTTTTCTTATTATAATAATGTTTGACAGGGGGTATACTTTATGGCCTTGGACTTAATTAAAACTGATTAAATAAAGTTAATATTAATAATGTCATTATTGTTACTATTATTTAAATAAATAGACAGTACAGACCGCTGCCCTGTATTTACAGCACTCACTGCTGCCTTGTATCTATAGCACTGCCTTCTGTCCTGTATCTTATTGTGAAATCTTTACTGTCTCTGAAATACAAGTACTGTCAAATTATTGGCCTGCACTAAGTCAAATAAATGATATTAATAATGTCATTATTGTTACTATTATATAAGTTAAATACATATTACAGACCTTGACCTATGTGTGCCCTCTGTATCCTCTGTATTATTGTGGAGCTGTTGTCGGTAGAATTGTATGGTTTTACAACATTACCAAATTTGGTTACAATCAAATTGGTAAATGGTAAATGGACCTGTACTTGTATGGCGCCTTTCTAGTCTTCTGACCACTCAAAGCGCTTTTAGACTATGAACCACATTTACCCTTTCACACACATTCACTCAGTAATGGCAAGGTCCATCGAACAGAAACTACCTCATTCATACACATTCACACTCCGATGCACAACATCTCTGCACTCCGATTAGTGGACGACCCGGTTCAAACTACAGACACATGAACCAGTTGCTCCTTTCTGGCTCTGAGGCTGATTGTCTTCCAATAAGATAATCTGGTTTGAATTCTGCCTGGCAACAGGCTGTGATGAGTCTGTTGAGCTGCTGCTGGATCTCTGATTTATTCACATTCCTCTTCTGTTGGTTTATTTATTTATATGAGGCTGTAGTTTGATGAAATGGTTACTTGTGTTGATTGAAGATGTTTAATGCTGAGACCCCCCAGTGACTCCCTACGTCATGACTGCTGTCCTTGGCTCTCAGTTGACATCAACAGTTAATCTCTTCCTCTGAGCTGATTAACTCTGTTTATCTGCTGTTAACCACATAAAAACTGTAAAACATCATAAAGCACTGTAAAACACTACAGTACACACATTGTGAAATACCTCTCAATACCTGTATATACCTGTGTATATACTTGTGAGTACCTGTATATATACCTGTGAATACCTGTGTATATACCTGTGCATATACCTATCTATATACCTGTGAATACCTGTGTATATACGTGTATATATACCTATGAATACCTGTGTATATACCTATCTATATACCTGTGAATACCTGTGAATACCTGTGTATATACCTGTGCATATACCTGTATATATACCTATGAATACCTGTGTATATACCTATATATATACCTGTGAATACCTGTGAGCACCTGTGTATATACCTATATATATATATATATATATATATATATATATACACCTGTGAATACCTATGAATACCCGTGTATATACCTGTATTGCCCAGAACCAGTTTGATAAAATGGAGACAGACAGTTCGGTGTCAGTCACAATCTCTTTATAGGTTTTATCGAACACAGCAGAGCGACTACAAGCTCCAACCAACCCACAATAAACATCACAACTCTCCATATTACAAAGAAAGAAAACAGAAACATACAAATATTACAAGCTGTAACTTAAAACTGAATTTCTCTTAAATCACTTAAATCACTATACATCCGATCTGACTTTACTTCTGTAAGACTGAACACAGACCAGATCCACACACACGCTCTGATGCAGCTTCCTGTCTGTTACACTGAGTCAACACTAAATATTCATATTTGATGAAGATTAAATTGCTCATCAAAGTGTGTGTGTTGGTTTGGCTGCTAGTGTAAAAAAACTTTCCTGTTTCATTACCAACCAGAGTCTTAGACAGGAACCAGACGGCCAAGACGTGACACCCTGAACCAGGTCTGCCAGGCTCAGCATGCTCTACCAATCCTGTGCTTGAGGTTACAGATGTTAGCATTAATGCTAGCTATCATTCCTTTGGCTGATGAATGTGAGCAGTTTATCAACAAACCTGCAAAAGCACAACATGTGAAAGTAAAGAATTTAATTCTGTCTGCTGGAAACCCCCCCCCAAAAGCCAGTGAAAAAGATGACTGCGAGACGATATCCAAATAAAATTCAAGAAACCATGTGAATCTTCCCCAATGCATATTAAGCTGTATTTACCTGTATTTACCTGTATAGACCTTCATGTATTGACCTCCTGGTGGTCAGGAGTGGTACTCAGCACTGAACACACCTTGTTTTAATTTTGGATGTTTTAGCCGTCTGTTTCCTTGTCAGAGGTCAGCCAGCGACGGTAAAGACCAGAGTTCGACCGATACTCAATGTCTGGGACACAAACACCAAAATGTGGACATAAAACAGCTGATGTTTGTTTTTCAAATAAATAATAAACAAATAAAAAATAGATTGTTTCTGCCCTCTGCTAGACAAACTGTGGAACTGCAACATGTTTGATATCAGTGCTGATGTATCGGTCGGGCTCACTGGGGGGGGTTATTATTTGTATACAATTTAAATCCAGATGTTTTATTTACAGCAGCAGGTTTCTGTTCCTCCTGATTAAAAATAAACTCTGTTCAACATATTTACAGAATGGAAAATAATATCGACATTCACAGTAACTTTAATGACTTGTTCACTTTGAGTGTGTGTGTGTGTGTGTGTGTGTGTGAGTGTGTGAGTGTGTGTGTGTGTGTCTGTGTGTGTGTGTGAGTGTGTGTGTGTGTGTGTGTGTGTGTGAGTGTGAGTGTGTGTCTGTGTGTGTGAGTGTGTGTGTGTCTGTGTGTGTGTGTGTGTGGATGGCTTATGTACAGAAGAAGAAGACCTCTCCTCTCTCGTTCCCTGTGTTTGGGGGAGAGGCAGGTGGAGATGGGGGGTTGAGAGGGGGGACACCCCAGTCCTTTGTGGTGGGCGGGGCTCTCAGGTGGCGGCCTCCTGTGCGTCCGCACCCTCCTCAACCTGGTTGGTCTTCCCCAGCGTCTTCAGCTTGGCGAACAGCTCGCTGAACGTCTCCTTCACGCCTTTCTCTAGCAGCCATCCTTCACTCTCACACTCTGGATTCTCTGGGTCCTCCATTGTCTCCAGAGCCGTGCTCAGGTACTTCAAACCCGCCATGTCCACCGACTGACACACACACACACACACACGCACACACACACACAGGGTGACATCATTATTGTGTTGGAGCCAATTGAAACTATGAGGGCATGTGCACTCCAGGCCAGCCCGACAGAAGTAATATTACTGTACTTTATGATACTCCAAATATTAAATGATGAAATATATGTTTACAGTCTGAAACTCCACCTGAGGAGACAACATCAGGGGAAAAAAGCCCCAGAGGTCTGAAAGAGGAGGTCTGATCTGATTGGTTCTGACTTATTGTTGATGTGGAGAAGGCTGCTGATTGGTCCACAGACTGCAGAAAGAAGAACGCAGATCTGAGAGCAGCACTACAAACAGAGTGACTGAGTTCAGGATGCTGTTTTTAAATCTCTCGTCACGCTTCAGGTCACACTTGTTGTTTTGACCCACATAACGAATCGCTTTTCACTCTCAGGAACTGTCCCTCATCCTGATCTTCCCAGAATGCACCCTGTTGCTGCGGCAGATTAACCCCCCCAGAATAGTTCCTGATCCTCAGTGAGCCTGACCACCACTCGGCAGCTTAATGTGCTGCAACCTCAGCACCAGATCCACTGCCAAGTCCTGAGTCACAGAAATCAACTAAACCACGATGAACTGGTTCTGTCAAATGTCTTCAAAATCACACTCCAGGTCAGATCTACTCTCTGAAACCCTAAACATCACGTCAACATAATATCAGAAATGTATTTAAAGTTGCTGACTGGAAAAATATTTTCCAAATTCCATGAAGTGGTCAACATTTTCAAAACTGCCTTTTTCCATATGGAGTCTGGTCTGCAGTCTGAAGAGCGGATTCTGGTTGTGTTTGTCATGAAGCAGCAGCTCCTTCAGCACTAATGCTAATCACTCACTAATCAATTATGCTGTTAACCTGGGGCATTTAAGGTCACTTCAGTTAGTTTACTGCAGGTGTGCTGCGATTATCTTTAAATCAGAAGATTAAGAACAGAACTTATCCTGTGTTCACCTCCAGGAGAAAGTCCTTACAGATTAGAGGCACATTTAGCTCCGAGCTCATTTTCTGTCACAATAAACACCTTTTAAACCAAACTCTGCTGTTCTGGCCTGAAAGCCCCGTCCCCCTCCCCTCCTGTCCAATCACATTCTTTTACTACAGCTCTGAAGGTTGCACACTGTTGTACATTAATGTGACGTCCCTTTTTGAGATGATAAAAGAATCAAATTCAACCAAATCAAACTTTTATTTTTGACTCACAGACATTCAACCAACCTTTGAATTTAAAGAAACAGTTCAACATTCTTTTTTTTTATATATATATATTTTTTTTGGGGGCTTTTTTTTTGATTGCCTTTTTTATAGTGACAGCTGAAGACAGACAGGAAAGGGGGGCAGAGAGTGGGGATGACACGCAGCAAGGGGCAGCAGTTCGGATTCAAACCCTGGGCCGCTGCAGCAAGGACTGAGCCTTGGTACATGGGTCGCCAGCTCTACCCACTGAGCTAACCGGACGCCCAACAGTTCAACATTTAATTAAATCCACTTCTTACCTCCCTGTCTGACAGTTAAAATTTAAGTACAGACAGCTGCCCACCTAGAGTTGGGGTCTGTCTGAGGTTTTTTGCCTCTTAAAGGAAGTTTTTCCTTGCTGTCTTCACCAAGGTCTTGCTCATAGTGGGAACTGTTACTGTAAATAATGTTATAAGGAGTACAGTCTAGACCTGCTCTATTTGAAAAGTGAGAGTTTTTTTACCAATTGGCGCTATACAAATAAAATGTAATTGAATTGAATATAAAGCTTTAGCCATCAGCTGGTTAGCTTAGCTTAGCATAAAAATTTGAAACAAAGGGAAACGGTCCACCTACCAGCAGCTCTAAAGTTGACAAACAAAAGTGGGAAAATAGGGGATTATATGCAGGACTGTTTTTGAGCAGTTGCCAGGCAACCAGTGGAGACTCCAGGAAGTTCCTGGTCCCAGCCAGGAAATAGTTGGGTATACAACTTCCTGTCAAACTACTGATGTTTTTGTACAGATGAAACAAACCAGATGTAACATGTTTATCAGGGTTTGCTTCAGTCAGAGCCAGACTAGCTGTCATTATGCTAAGCTTAGCTAATGAGTTGTATTAATCTGAAACTTTAAATGTTGGAAAGTGGATGCTTATTGGCTGAGGTGGGTGGTGGGCGGAGCCTTACCTCCAGGATTATGGTGGCGATGACAAGCACTCCGATGCTGTTCATCATGCCGCTGAAGTAGGAGAAGAGGGCCTCGCGGCATCCCCGGGTCCAGATGTTGAGCTCCTCAATGCGGTGGTCGTAGTCATAGTGGGCGGTGTTATTGGTCAGGTGATGCTGGATGCAGGGCCGAGGGGACCCAGGGTTACAGCAACTGAATGGGACGCTGTCCATCAGGTACTTTCCCTCCACATTACTGAGGACCCGACTGCAGGACAGAGATAGAGTTCATGTTTACTGGAGGTCAGAGGTCAGAGGTCACTGCAGAGGCTCAGTGTCAGAGCCAGAGTTTGAAGTGACTTTCCAAAAAGAATTATGTCAACAAACAACCACACAGACTGTCTCTTTGTGGAGGTTTGATTGACTTTCCAACAATAAATGTAAACTCAATTCTATTTCCATAAACTTCATTTTGGTGACCACTTTGATCTCTTCAGCACCACCATCATGACAGAACATTAGATTTATTTAAACAAATCTTTGGCTCCAAACTTTAAATGTTTGTTTGGTTCTGGTTAGGGTTGGGGTTTGGTATGGTACAGTCCCAGTAAAGAACTCTGAGGAACACCCTTTAAATCTCTAACGTGTAACATTTCCTCATGGTGTATAAACTATGTTCTATATAGAGTTGATTAAATCAATAATCTACAATCAATAAACAGTGTATAGACTCTAGAGCTATGTTTTATATGGAGCTGATTCAATCAATAACCAATAATCAGAAGCTGTCATGCATTGACTGTTTACCATCCACTGTTTGGATCTTGGTGCTTTTTAACTCAAGATTTGAACCGGATGAAGGATTTTAGTCATCAGACGTCTGGATCTTAAGTTATCAGAGAAACAAGCTGAGCTAACGTTAGCAGCAGCTCGGCTCGCAGTCCCTCTGGGACGTCCTTTGTCTGTCCAACAGCGTGGGAGAAGCAGTGATTGTTAGGTATGTTTAACACAAGGAGGACAGACAGCTGGTAATCAGATAAAAAGTTTATCTTTATTAAGACTTTTGAATGGAATCATTGGATCTCTATAATTCACTTTTCTGTGACCAGTGAATTCGCTCTGTTGGCCAATTATAACCAAGACAGAGCTGAGCCAAAGAGAAAGCTATCATAGCTTATTAGTTATGTTGCTAACATCAGAGTATAAACTGCTCCACACCAGAGACCAACTTTACAGGGGACAGGAGGACATCATACTGATTAATAAACTGTAGAAACTTGTGTCCTTTTAGCTACTGAACTAACTAGCATAGAAAGCTATTGTGGCTCCCAGATCAGCCCATCATATCATATCATATCATATCATATCAAAATAAAGAGATCCAGTCTGTAATCTTCAGCGTGTGGACAGAATCTGTCCATATTCTAACATATCATCACTTTGGATGCCTCCATTTTGTTGTGCATTTATTCCAGCGGCGGCTCACAAACTGTAATCTGTGACTCACTGCATCCCCAAATATTTCAAGAACTTTGCTGCTGGGATGCTTCCTGGTCTAACTGGGCTTCAACAATCTGCTAGCGCCCCCTTCAGGCTGCAGAGTTCAGGTCTGAACAATGGCAGAAAGGGTTTCTCCTCTGAAGACTATGAGCAGATATCATCTCAATAACTCTGAGCTTCATCATTGAAGTTTTATCAGGATCAGACACGAAATTTTGACCAAAGTTTGAAAATGTTTGTTATCAGTTTGTCCTGATGGTGGCGCTAAAGGAAAGAGCGAACAGGAAGGACATCAGAGATATTTATTGACCATTATTGACTGATGAGTTAAATAAAACTGAATTAATCTGAAGATCTTTTTTAAACAAAAGGACATTTGGACACTTTGTGATGTCACTGGTGTCTCCTCTGAGGGGGCGGGACCTGAGAGTGATTGATGGGAACTGGCAGTGGGCGTGGCCTGTGGCTGACAGGAGGTTCAAATTGGATGATGGGAAATAATCATCTCAGAGAGAGAGAGAGAGAGTAATATCTCTTAAGAGCATTAACACAGAAACACGACACGGAAACACGCAAACATGGATCTACGACACGACTTCAGAACCTCAGACTGACAGACTGATGGCCAGCTGCTGATGATTATTGATCACATCTGACGGCTTCTGCTGTCTTTTACAGTACTGATCAGTTTTCTCTGGTGAGAGAATCAAACGCTCCCTTAGTCTCCTGGTTTGGTTTAACCTTGTCATGTTAGTGGGCGTGTAAGCCGCAGCAAGGTGGAAATCAGATCCTGACAGATTATAGACTTAAGGAGCAGAAGCTGGTACATCGACCTCCTGCACGGGAACTTTTACCTCCTTAATTCCCTGATTTATCCTCCACTGACCCCCTTTCATAAAACTCTCTCTGTGGGCCGCTGAGCTCTGAAGTTAAAGTGTGATTCAGCTGAAAAACACTGACGATGAGCAACAGTTGGAAGGTTGGAATCAGGCTTTTCTCATTAGGAAGCTTAGAGATGATCCCGGTTTGTGCTCTCGTTGACCTCGAGAGACAAAAACGAGCCACGATTCAGTGAAATGAATGAAGAGTCAACTTAACTTTCCTGGAAAGTGAGAAATAAAAAGTGTTGGTCAACAGTTCCCTTCTGACAGCAGGAACATAAAGTGATCGTATCAATTGGTTGTTGGAGCTGTGTGACGTCAGCAGCGACCTACAGGGGGATATTTATCTGCAACCAACGATTGTTTTCATTATTTTATTTGTTCTGTAAAACATCACAAATGTCTCACAGTTCCTCAGACTTCAGTCCAGCCTGGTTCAGTTTACTGTGACACAGATATTCAGCCGACCAATCACATTTCCACAAATCTGACCAATTGAAGAATATTTCCCCACACTCACTTGCTTGTCTGTAGTTGTGAAGATAAAAACTTTGACTTTCCAAACACTGCAGTTTTATTCACTGAAACAAGTCACCTTAAATTTTTTATGAATTACAAAAAACAATCACAACAATTTTTGCAATTTTCAAAAAAAGCCTAAAAATATCACAACAGGCAGGGACAGACTGGACCCTGGAGGGACAGACTGGTCTCTGCCGGGACAGACTGGACTCTGCAGGAACAGACTGGACTCTGGAGGGTACTCACTCTTTGACTGCGTCGTTGCTCATGTCCAGGTAGCGGTTGCTGATCCACTGCACCTCAAACCAGTCCCTGAAGTTGTTGTTGCCACAGCAGCGGAACTCGATCTGCGTCATGTCCAGTGTCCTCTTCATGAAGCAGCGTCCCGGTGTGTCCGTGTCTTTGTAGAACTTGATGCTGTTCTTCAGGCCCTCGGCCAGCGTCAGGTACACGGCAAACTGCATGAGGAAGCAGAGCATCGCCGTCAGCAGCAGCAGCGCATTGAAGCCACAGCACAGCAGCAGGTATGGCTTCAGCATCGGCTTCCACTTGGCGAACTTGATCGGGTCCAGAGAGTCGTGGCACACCTTCCCTCCGAAGGCGTTGACCCCACAGGCCAACAAGCCCACCAGGATCAGCAGGTTGGGCACTAAATGGCTCTCGTTGTTGTCCATCATCTCGCTTCTCTTCCGCAGCTCAATCTTAAAAAAGATGCCGAGGCTGAAGATGAGGATCCCTACGATGACCGAGAGCCAGTAGATCATCCACAGACCCTGAGCCAGCTTCACCCGCTTCGGCAGGTTGAACTTCACCGGCATGAAGGGCATTTTTACCTGTCGGTTCAACGGGAACACTCAACTGAATCAACACTGAACAACAGGAATCTAAAATAAGCAGTTCGAGAATCCTTCGGAGTTTCAGACTTTTAATCCCTTCCAGAAACTCAACTCAACTCTCGGTTTCAGACCCATAATGCCGAGCTGCAGGTCAGGACAGTCCATAGTGCTGGGGGGGCACAGGGGTCCGCCATTAAATCACAACCAAATATTCACATAGAATCTGGCGACGGGTTCGACTCCAGTCTGCTGCGGAAGGAAAGGTGTGAATGTGAGTGAGCGGAGAGTCGTCCTCCAGAAGCTCAGCTGTGATCTCGTTAGCAGCAGATCAGCTTTAATCCGCTCACTGATAATTGGTTTGATGTTAAGCAGCAGCAGCTTCCTCCGGTCACAGCTCACCTGTCAACTGCAGGTACACTGTTACCGTAGCAACCAGACAACCAATCACACACAGAATGTGTCACCTGAGGGTTGGGACCCCCACCACACTATTATTGATCAGTGTATATTATTATTATTATTGATCAGTGTATATTATTATTATTGATCACAGTGTATATTATTATTATTGATTACAGTGTATATTATTATTGATCAGTGTATATTATTATTATTGATCAGAGTGTATATTATTATTGTTATTGATCTGTGTATATTATTATTATGATTACAGTGTATATGATTATTATTGATCACAGCGTATATTATTATTATTGATCAGTGTATATTATTATTATTATTGATCACAGTGTATAATATTATTGATCAGTGTATATTATTATTATTATACATCACAGCATATATTATTATTATTATTATTGATCACAGTGTATATTATTATTATTGATCAGTGTATATTATTATTATTATTGATCAGTGTATATTATTATTATTGATCAGTGTATATTATTATTATTATTATTATTGATCACAGTGTATATTTTTATTATTATTGATCAGTGTATATTATTATTGATAAGTGTATATTATTATTGATCAGTGTATATTATTATTGATAAGTGTATATTATTATTGATCAGTGTATATTATTATTATGATTATTATTATTATTATTATTATTGATCAGTGTATATTATTAATGTTATTATTGATCACAGTGTATATTATTATTGATCAGTGTATATTATTATTATTGATCAGTGTATATTATTATTGTTATTATTGATCAAAGTGTATATTATTATTATTATTGATCACAGTGTATTGATCACAGTGTATATTATTATTATTATTATTGATCACAGTGTATATTATTATTATTGATTGCAGTGTATATTATTATTGATCAGTGTATATTATTATTATTATTGATCAGTGTATTTTCTTATTGATTCAATTCAATTCAATTCAATTTTATTTGTATAGCGCCAATTCATAACAGAAGTTATCTCAGGACACTTTTCAAATAGAGCAGGTCTAGACCGAACTCTTTAACATTAATTACAGAGACCCAACAGTACCACCATGAGCAAGACCTTGGAGACAAGGGCAAGGAAAAACTGCCTGTTAAAAGGCAGAAACCTAGGACAGATCCTCCGGCTCTAGGTGGGTGGTCGTCTGTCTCGACCAGTTGGGGTGAGAGAGAGAGAGAGAGAGAGAGAGAGAGAGACAGACAGACAGACAGGTGCACAGCAACAACAGTATTGGCAATGGCAGTCAAGCAGGACCATGGCAGGAGGCTCCACCAGGATCCATGAGAACCTGCGAGACGAGAAAGCACAAGAACTCCGGGGAAGAAGTGAAGTTAGTAACATGCATTAATGGGACATGAATGAGTGCAGAAAGAGAGAGGAAGGGGAGGAGCTCAGTGCACCATGGGAAATCCCCCCGATAGTCTAGGCCTATAGCAGCATAACTAAGGGATGGTTCAGGACTCACCTGATCCAGCCCTAACTATAAGCTTTATCAAAGAGGAATGTCTTAAGCCTACTCTTGAATGTGGTGAGGGTGTCTGCCTCCAGAACCACAACTGGAAGCTGGTTCCACAGGAGAGGAGCTTGGTAACTGAAGGCTCTGGCTCCTGTTCTACTTTTAGAGACTATAGGAACCACAAGTAGCCCAGCATTCAGAGAACGTAGTGTTCTAGAGGGGTAATAGGGTACTATGAGCTCTTTAAGATATGAAGGGGCCTGACCATGAAGAGCTTTATAGGTGAGGAGGAGGATTTTAAATTCTATTCTACATTTTACAGGGAGCCAATGCAGAGAAACTAGTACAGGAGAGATGTGATCTCTTTTTCTAGTTCCTGTCAGTACTCGTGCTGCAGCGTTCTGAATTAATTGGAGCGTTTTAATGGACTTATTGGGGCAACCTGATAATAAAGAGTTGCAGTAATCCAGCCTTGAAGTAAGAAATGCATGGATTAGTTTTTCTGCATCTGTCTGTGATAGTATGTGTCTAATTTTTCTAATATTACGTAAATGAAAGAAGGCAGTCCTACAGGTCTGCTTTATGTGGGAGTTAAATGACAAATCCTGATCAAAGATAACTCCAAGATTCCTGACAGTGGTGCTAGAGGCCAAGTTAATGCCATCTAGAGTAACTATATCTTTAGACAGTGAGTCTCTAAGGTTTTTGGGGCCAAGAACAAGAATTTCGTTTTTTTCTGAGTTTAACATCAGAAAATTGCAGTTCATCCAGGATTTTATGTCCTTAAGACATGTTTGTAATTTAGATAATTGATTAATTTCATTGGGCTTGATTGATAGATATAACTGCGTATCATCTGCATAACAGTGAAAGTTAATGGAGTGATTCCTAATAATGTTGCCTAAAGGGAGCATATATAAAGTAAATATTATTGGTCCAAGTACAGAACCTTGTGGAACTCCATGACTAACTGTAGTATTTATTGAAGATTCATCGTTAACATGTACAAACTGTGAACGATCTGATAAATATGACTTAAACCAGCTTAGTGCGGTTCCTTTAATGCCAATTTGATGCTCAAGTCTCTGTAAAAGAATATTATGGTCAATGGTGTCAAATGCAGCACTAAGATCTAATAATACAAGTACAGAGACAAGTCCATTGTCAGAAGCAGTCAGAAGGTCATTATTAACTTTAACCAGAGCTGTCTCTGTGCTGTGATGAACTCTAAATCCTGACTGAAAATCCTCAAATAAACTATTGTTATGTAGAAAGTCACACAACTCTTTGGCGACTACTTTCTCCAGAATCTTAGAGAGGAAGGGGAGGTTAGAAATCGGTCTATAGTTGGCTAAAACCCCTGGGTCAAGAGTGGACTTTTTAAGAAGGGGTTTAATTACAGCTACTTTAAAGGACTGTGGTACATATCCTGATAATAAAGAAAGATTAATCATATCCAGTAAAGAAGTGCCAATTAAGGGAACAACTTCTTTAAGCAGCCTAGTTGGGATCGGGTCTAATAATAGACAGGTTGATGGCTTCGATGAAGAAATGATTGAAGTTAACTGATGAAGATCGATAGCAGAAAAACAGTCTAAATATATATCTGAGTTTACATTGACAGAAGTCCCTGAACTTGGAGAGCCACTGATAACTGTTGATGGCAGTTGGTGATTAATTTTTTTTCTCTAATAGTATTATTATTATTGATCAGTGTATATTATTATTATTGATCAGAGTGTATATTATCATCATTATTGATCAGTGTATATTATTATTGATCAGTGTATTGATCAGTGTATATTATTATTGATCAGTGTATTGATCAGTGTATATTATTATTATTGATTACAGTGTATATTATTGATCAGTATATATTATTGATCAGTGTATATTATTATTGATCAGTGTATATTATTATTATTGATCACAGTGTATATTATCACCATTATTGATCAGTGTATATTATTACTATTTATCAGTGTGTATTATTATTGATCAGTGTATATTATTATTGATCAGTGTATATTATTATTAATCAGTTTATTATCATCATTATTGATCGCAGTGTAGTGACAGAGCTTCAGTCTCTGATCAACAGCATCGTCCATCAGAAGGCAGCAGACATCTTATAGATGAGAATAAACTCTGAATCTGTCAGAAAGAAGAATATTAAGTCGGATTGTTAAAATAATTAAAATACAGAATACGGACAGAGAATGTATCAATATATCAGGAACCATCTCTGATCAATATTTACAGGAAATAAACTTCCTGCAGTTATTGAGTTCACTTTTTGGGTTCATTGATCAGTTTATCAGCTGTTCTCTGCTGTTATTGATACTGATCAATATGAAATATACTAAACACAGAGTAAGTAAGTAAGTGACAGAAATGACAAACTGTGTGTTTATTAGTTCTGATAAATGTGTTTGCTCTGGCGCCACCTTTAGGACAAACTGACCATAAATCCAGGAGATAAGTCCTTTTAAAGTTTTTAATGGTTTTTCTTATACAATATTGTACATTTACTCATTTATACAAGAATTCACATATTAACAGCAGAGAGAATGAAGCAGCGCGAGGAGGCGACATGCTGTGAAATAACAAACTAATAAATAAATAAATAAAGGAGATTTCTGTTTGTCACAAACTCAAAGCCATAAAAAACTAAACAGAAAGTGACTTCACACACGTTAAAACAACAAAACTGAACTAAAGAAACTGATATATTAGCCTTCCATTCTTCATCAATATCCGAGACGTGTCTGATATGTTGTCAATCAATAAAACCCAACGACTCATATTCATATATCTAATATTCCTGTTTTCATTGATCGTTCCTTTTTGCAGGAGACACATCTAAACTGGGAATCTGTTGCCATGGAAATGCCTCAAAACGAAGTGAACATTAATAAGAAATTTCACACTAAAAGCAATCCGTATGAATAATAATAATAATAATAATAATAATCAATAATTCAAATCAAACCTCTTTATTTTAAATGTTTCTTTAATAATCACATGACTACATTACCCATGAGCCTCAGTGAACGGATCTCATCTTTTGCTTCAGTGAAGCTCTGTGATTGGCTGTTTGTTAGTGAAATGCACCCTGGGAGTTCATCACAAACTGTCACTGGACTGTCTGAATCAGAAACGTGGGCGGCAGCTCCTTTTTCCCATGATGCCGAGAGGAAACGGAGATTTTAATCTGATGGTTTTTGAATGAAAGTTAAAAAAAAAGTTCACAGATGTAAAACAGCTGGAGGTGAGCTGTCAATCAACCTGAGTGACAGCAGCAGGTGGGCGGGGCTTCACTTTGGATTTTTAAAGATTCACAAACAAAAAAAAGTCAGAAAATCTCCAAAAAACAAAATTTCAATCTGAAGAAAAT